CCCCCAACTTTTGCTGTAAAGGGCCACATAGTAAATATTTGCCCACCCTTGGATTAGAACAACGGTACCTGAACTTTGGCGTGCCTCAGAATCACCTGGAGGGAAGTTCCCTCCAATTCCACCATCCAGAGATAACTACTGCNAAAAAAAAAAAAAAAAAAAAAAAAAAAAAGAAATGAGTAACCACAAAAGCAGTTGATATGTGCCGTGATGGAGGAGGAAGGGGTATGGTGGGAGCAGGAAGGAGGGAATGAAACTAGGGGAGAGAGGGGGGATTAGGGAAGGCTTCCCGGAGGAGGTGACGACTAAGCCAAACCTTGAAAGTTAAGCTGCTGCTTGGATTAGACTCTAAATCCACTTTTTCTGTTGGTTTATTTTTATCTTATTTATTTATTTATTTATTTTTGGTGGCTGGCTGGTACAGGGATCAAACCCTGGACCTTAGTGCTATCAGCACCACACTCTAACCAGCTGAGCTAACCGGCCAGCCCCCCAGCTTTTGCTGTAAAGGGCCACATAGTAAATATTTGCCCACCCTTGGATTAGAACAACGGTACCTGAACTTTGGCATGCCTCAGAATCACCTGGAGGGAAGTTCCCTCCAATTCCACCATCCAGAGATAACTACTGCCAACAGTTTGCTGAAGAGTATTCTATACTTTTTAACTTTTTAAAATGCCTATAATGGGCTGGCCGGTTAGCTGAGGTGGTTAGAGCACAGACCTGTAACTCCAAAACCTGGCCAGCCACCAAACAAACAAAAAAAAATGCTTACACACACACGCACGCACGCACGCACACATGAATGTATACCTCTGTGACTCATGCTCTGTGTGAGGGCTTATACTGTACATAATGTTCTATAAGTGATTTATTTCTTAACAGTATGTCATGGACATCTTTCCAGAGCCTCAGTCTTTGCAATGGCTGCATAGTATTGCGTTGCCTGCATGTGCCATTCTTCACTAGTCCTGCACTGATGGACTGCTTAGGGTACCTCATTATTACAAACAATGCCACAGTGAATATCCCTGTGTGGACATCTTTGTGTACATGTGTATTTCTCCAAGATAAATTTTTAGGAGTAAAACTGGTGAATCAAAGCCTGCAAATATTTAAACATGTGGTACATAGACCTCGTTAAATTTTCCTCCAGTAAAGTGACTCATTCACACTCCTGCCATAGGCTGGTCTCAGAGCTGGCTGGAAAGCTTATTCCTTGGGCCAAAGAGGGGACCCATTTTTGCCAACCGTGGGCATTATCAGTCTTTTCAGTATCTGCAAGTATTAACATTATATTCTGATAATGTTACAACAGAACTTTAATGTTGCTTTTTTTTGCTTGTCTTCAATTATTATTCTTTTCATGTGCATCAGCACTTTTTCTCTCATGAACTACTTCTGCTCATTTTTTCTTTTGGGTGTATATCTTTGTCTTTATATATTAAGAGTTTTTACCTGTTTCTTTTATGATGCAATGTTTTTCTCTGTCTTTTAACTTTGCTCATGGGACCTATTGTTGTACAGAAAGTGTTCATTCTTGTGTGGTCAAATCTGGCCTGGTGAGTTATTTAGTTACGTTCTAGATGAGGTTTTGGTCACGTGGCATAGCCTTGAGTGCTTTATAAGTGTCCTCAGTAAACAAGCTTGTGGATTCAGTCTTCCCCTCAAAACGGGGTGCTTCCAAAGCTGCAACATAAAGTCCTATTCTTGTGTCTCAACTGTGAGTGACCTTTTGGGCAAGTCATTTCCTTTCCCTGGGTCTTTATTTTTCTGCTTGTCAAATTGTGGGGATCAAATAATACCTCACTTGCAAGGCTGCTGGGAGGATCAGACGAGCACAGACGTGCTTCTTCAACTTACAGAGGTGTTTAAAGTGTGGAGTTTCTACCACCTCGGGGGCTTTGCTGCCGTGAAAGCAAGCACTGGGTCTGGTTCTCCCCCAAATCCCAGCCCTGGGCATCAAGCCTAGCACAGAACAGGGTGGATGACATGCTGGGGGTGGAGATGTAAGAGCTCATGGCACAGGAGCTGATTTTGCCCCCAGGTCTGCTTTTGGAAAGTGCTAGAATTGCCTGGACGCAGCTGAGCAGGAAGGCGGGCCCAGGCTGCACCCTGGCGGCTGACCCCTGCTGTCTTGGCAGGGTTACCCACCACTGACAAAGATCCTGGCAAGTTTCTTTGGGAAGCAGCTGGGACAGGAGCTGGACCCACTCACGAATGTACTGGTGACTGTGGGTGCCTACGGGGCCCTGTTCACAGCCTTCCAGGCACTGGTGGATGAAGGAGACGAGGTGGGTGGGCACGGCTTGGGCTGGGTGGGGGTGAGGGGTCAGAGCGGTGCTGACCCCAGCTAATCTGACCCTTGTATCAGGTCATCATCATCGAACCCTCTTTTGACTGTTATAAGCCCATGACACTGATGGCAGGGGGTCACCCTGTATTTGTGGCCCTGAAGCCGGTAAGGATACTGGGTGGGGTGTGTGTGGGTGGAGAGATCCAAGGAGTAGGCTGGGTTGGACCCTGGAAGTTAGGAAAGAAGTGAAGGAGGCCAGGTCCTCTGAGCTGGGAGGATGGGGTGGGGGTGGGGGTGGGGATGGCCTCCAGAGCCCCAGAGGAGAAAAGGAGGGGACAGATGCCTGGGAGGAGGACTGAATGTCACGTAGGAAAGTATTGCCACCCCACCACCACTACCTCCTCTTGCAGAGTCCCACCCAGGATGGGGAACTGGATTCCAGTAGCAACTGGCAGCTGGACCCCACAGAGCTGGCCAGCAAATTCACATCTCGTACCAAAGCCCTGGTCCTCAACACACCCAACAACCCCCTGGGAAAGGTACCTGAGAGACCTTCTCCCAGGGACCCCTCCAGACTGACGTCAAGTACCCCACTCTATTACTGATTTGCTGCTGTGAGGCCTCAGTTTCTTCATCTGTGAAATGGGAGGGCTCAGCTGATGAGCTCTGAGGACTGAGGCCCCAGGGACAGGGGCAGGAGTCCCCAGGGAAGGTATGAGGGCTGGGGTGGTAGAGTGGTCTAGGTGACCTTGGGAAAGTGACTTTGTTTCTTTTGAAGTGTTTTCTCATCTCTAAAATGGGAACATGAGAGAACAGGGTCAGCGTTTCAGGGATTTGATGGGACGGCAGAGAAGCCCTTAGTACCACGTCTGCTCTTACTCTTTCATCTCTGAGCAGGCCTCTGTGTTTGGGGAAGGTCCCAGCTGCAGGCCTGTGTCCTCCCTGGGTCCTCACAGGTGTTCTCCAGGGCAGAGCTGGAGCTGGTAGCCAGCCTGTGCCAACAGCACAATGTGGTGTGCATCAGCGATGAGGTCTACCAGTGGATAGTCTACGACGGGCACCAGCACATCAGCATCGGTGAGCTGCGCCAGGCCAGCCTGGGTGCCCCCTGCCCTGGACTTTGGTAGCAGGACTTTGAGCCCAGTCTAGGAGTCAGTGCAGGCCTGGGGATTAGGACCAAGGGTTTTAGAGCCACACAGCTTGTATGGCCTTGGGCAGTGACTTCACCTTCCTGAGAACAGAGGATCACGATAGCACCTGCCTTCTGGGGTTATCTTGAGGATGAGATAAAATAGTTCCTGTAAATAGCTTAGCACCTGTGGAGTCCAGAGCATTGAGAGCCCCTGGGGCCCAGGCCACCACCCCTCCCTGCCCCTCACTCCCATCTCAGCAGCCACTCTCTTTGGCCCTGGGCAGCCAGCCTCCCTGGCATGTGGGAGCGGACCCTGACCATCGGCAGTGCCGGCAAGACCTTTAGCGTCACCGGCTGGAAGGTGAGTGGATGGGGAGGGTAACGCCCCCCATGCTCCTGGGCAGGTGAGAGGGGCCTGAAGGACCTCATCCCCTCCCCGTGTTCCTTGTCCAGGTGGGCTGGGTCCTGGGTCCAGATAATATCATGAAGCACCTGAGAACTGTGCACCAGAACTCGGTCTATCACTGTCCCACGCAGGCCCAGGTGAGAGACGCAGGAGACCCCACGGTGGGGGGAAGGGGGCCAGGAGAGGGGCAACATAAGAGCCCAGGCTGGCCCCAGCATCAGGGCACACATGATTTGTCTGTCCATATGCCCTGTCCAGGCCGCGGTAGCCCAGTGCTTTGAGCGGGAGCAGCTGCACTTTGGCCAACCTAGCAGCTACTTTGTGCAGCTCCCACAGGCCCTGCAGCGCCACCGTGACCACATGATACGCAGCCTGCAGTCAGTGGGCCTGAAGCCTGTGATCCCCCAGGGCAGCTACTTCCTCATCACAGACATCTCGGGCTTCAGTGAGTGAGACCCACTAGTCTGGGCAAGGCATGGGGGGGCCAGAGGCTGCCTAGGGCTCAGCATGGCCTCTGTCCCTCAGAAAGCAAGATACCTGACTTGCCTGGTGCTGCAGATGAGCCCTATGACAGACGCTTCCTCAAGTGGATGATCAAGAACAAGGTAGGCTGGGTCTCTGCCAGGGCTGCTGTGTGTGGTTTCACAGGTTGTTCACTGCTCAAGGGTGCCCAGCCAGGGGACTTATGGGCCAGAATCCAGCCCAGTCCTGGTACAGTTGCATCCACCTGAAGGAATAGGGAGCCTGCTTTTAATTTGCACAAAGATGCCATGTGGATCACACACACACACACACACACACACACACAAATATGTTGAGTTTATTCAGGAATAAGAAATGAGGATTATAACCCAGGTACATGGCAATGGCCAGCCACAGGTGTCACACACATCCAAATATGTTGAGTATTCAGGAATAAGAAATGAGGATTATAACCCAGGTACATGGCAATGGCCAGCCACAGGTGTACTGGTGAGGGAAGGGTAAGAGAAAGCTGTTATTGGCAAAAGGGAGGTTCACGTAAGTTGCTTGGAAACAGAGTTCATTGTTTTCAGAGGTTCAAAGCCAGACTTGTCATCAGTCCATTGGTAGAGATGCTGTGTGCTGTTACTTGGCAAGAGTTCTTTTGGAGCATGCTATCTGAGTTGCTGCAGTTCTAAAAAATGTCTAGTGATAAGCCTCGTCACAGAAATATGTGCAAGCCGTGCAAAATGTGCACCCCGTGCAAAGCAGGAGATGTGTGGACATGAAGGGATTTCTGGCAGGGTTTTTTGAAGGTCTTTGGAAACAGTTTTTATCTCAGACAAGCAAGCATGAGCCCCCCTCCTTTGTGCCTTTCCTAGCCCTATTTTGTCTGAAAAAAGTGATTTCCTCCACTTTCACATTTTCCTCCTCCCCAGGGCTTGGCAGCCATCCCAGTCTCCATCTTCTGTAATGTGCAACATCAGATGCCCTTTGACCACTATGTCCGCTTCTGTTTTGCAAAGGTAAGGGGCAGGGCTGGGAGAGGAAAGACCTCACCGAGTCCCCCGAGGCCCGCTGGGAGCGTGGGAGAGAGTAGGACCTATCTGTGTTGGTGCAGGATGAATCCACACTCCGGGCCATGGACGAGAAGCTACAGCAGTGGAAGTCTGATCTCAGACCCTGACATCACCCCTGGGCCCTGCCCTGTCTGGTTCCTATGCACTCCTTGGGTGTCTGTCCTGGTCCAGGTTTCAGCCACTCCCAGGTCGGGAGAAAATGGATGGTACAGGGTACCCCTTCTCTATGACATGGAATATTCCCAGGGAAAGCCCCCCTTTTTGGTCTTGGGGGAGTCGGGAGTCACCTCCCCATAGTGCCTATACTCCTGTCTTGGAGGTGAAGGCCTGTCCTCAGCCTCTCCCTGCACCTCCCTAGGACCGGTCGTTGTGCCTTGGGTTGTTTCTGGCCTCCCCAGACTTGGCTGGGGCTGAAGGAGCAGAGTCCAACAGTGTATAGGACTTCAAGTCCCATCCCTGTCCTGGCCCCAGCTAAGGCTCAGGCCTTTCCTTATCTCACCTTGAACTTCGAAATTTGCCTTTATGGTTGAGTCCTTAAGCCCGTCCTTTTTGCCCATAATAAAGTTTTAAGTTATGCAAACCCTTATGACTGCCTCTCTCTGCTTCACACTCTGGTGCTGATCGCTGATGGGACTTGGTCAGAATGGGAGGAACCTCGGAGAACTTCAGACCCCACCCCACCCCTTTGTACAAGTGTATTTTTTGCGGAGTAAAACCGAGGCCAGAAGAGCTCAGGGACTTGAGATTTGGCTGAAGTCACACAGTTAATTAGTGGTGAAATCTGGCCAAGAACTCAGGGATCCCAATGGCATTCCTCACCTTTTGTCAATCTGATGTACCGGTTACTGGTTCTGGATGAGGTGACTGGGTCATGGCCATATGTGTGTGTGCGCGCGTGCGTGCGTGTAAGGGTTGAGGACTTGACTGGGTCATGGACGTGTGCGTGTGCGTGCGTGTAAGGGTTGGGGACTTGACTGGGTCATGGACGTGTGCGTGTGTGTGTGCGCGCATGTGTGCGTGTAAGGGTTGGGGACTTCTGACAAGGAAGACAGGGACGTTTCCACAGGAATGAGAGAACAGCCTCAGTGTGGGCCTGGAGGGCAGAGATTTACATAACTAGGAGGAGGAGTTGCTAATGATTATTGTGCGAGCCCTGCCTTCACTGCCTTCACTGGTGGCCTGTCCTGTCCTTAAACAACCCTCTGAGACAGAAGTTTCCATTTCACAAGTGAGGAAACCAGCCGGAAGTGAGGTGGCATGCCCACGGCAATCCAGCTGGCGAGAGGTAGAAGTGTGACTTGATCCCCAGGTGGACGGGTAGGCTTCCCACTGAAAAGCAATGGCAGCTCCTGAGTTCCTTTGGAAGGTGGTGCCAAGGGGGCTTGTCTTGAGGCTGCGTTTGCATAGTACACCCACAGGTTTTGCTCATATAATATGTCAAATTGGGGGAAATGATGGGAACATGTATAATAAAGAATGGATTTGGTCTTTGTCCCTGGTTACTAGCACAAAACTTCTAAAACCCTTGGACTTTCCTGAGTGATAGGAGTTTCTTTTATTCACAAAGAGCCCCTTTGGACCGTGTCATCAGAGGGCGGAAATTTCAGCTCATCCCCCCACTCCACCTCTGCCCCTTGGAGGGAGAGGGACTTTGAGTTCAGTCACATGGCCAGTGATTTAATCAATCATGCCTATGTAACAAAACCAGCCAAAAGCCAAAATTACAACAAATTTAGTTTGAAGATCTAATTGGCTTTTATTAGCAATTCTAGAATCAGGCAACATCTCATTCTATACAATAGAATGGGTGCCCGAATGAGCTGAGCAGAGAGGGTGGCTTTAGAGGCAGAAAAGGCTGAAGAAAGCAAAAATAAGGAACAAAAAGCAGACTGGTCATTTCAAAGTTACTTTCCTTCTGGGACAAAAACAGAGGGGACTTCCTTACTATAATTGTTGTTGTAAATCTGCTGATTTTTAGAAAACCGGCTCCTTTCTTTTTTTTTTTTTTGTCTTTTTCGTGACCGGTAACGGGATCGCAACCCTTGGTGTGGTGTCGCCCGCACCA